TCTATCTATCTATCTATCTATCTATCTATCTATCTATCTATCTATCTATCTATCTGATGTTCGGATGTTGCGATAGTCTGAGACGAACTGAACTTTACCTCTGCTGTTTGCTGGGAATTTTAGCCCATCATCTCATGAGACAGTGGTGAGTGACTGCAAACAAGGTGCTATGGCTTAATTGGATTTATAAGATATTTTTATTTATAGTTTTGTTTTAGCGAAACTATGCTATTCTGATTCTTATCGAAACCGTTCTGTTCTGCAAAATTCTAACAATTTGTCATCCAGCAGAAAATCCTACTTCCATCCCCTTGTTGGCAGAATTATATAAACACTTAATATTAATTTCTCTCCGTATTGTAAAACCTTTTTTGAATCAAAGTGTCAGTTGCTGTTTTCCTACAAGTAATCGAATTAATGTGGGGCGAAAACGGTTACGACGAAATTTAAAAAAATGAAACTTGTGGGACGAAAACAGGATCTTCTATTTCTATATTTCAACACAGACAGCTTTTCAGGATTGGGAAACCATTTTTTTCATTGCGTCTGCAGGGATGCAGTGTTCGATTGAGAACCGGTTATTCTAGACTGAAAGATGTATCCAAACTGTATACTTTTTAAAAAATGAGAACAATTAATATCTAATTCAGAGTACAGGGTAAAAGTATATTAACACTACCCCGAGGGTTGTATTTTTCACATTTTAGAATACTTCTAGTACGAATATCTCTTTGAAACTTTCAGTATTTCTCCAAAAATCATTTTGACAGACTGCTATGCAAAGCGTACGGATTGGATTAACGAGTAAATTTCCTCTCTGGAAAGTTGTGGCACAGAGTTCCCCACTTCGTATGGATATAATAGTAAAACACGACGTACGGATAGGGTTAAATCATTGCCCCTTCTCCAAACGTTACCATTTTTGCCCCAACGAAAAAGAAAACAGAGAAAGGCGACTGACTTCTTTCCAAAGGAATCGGACCTCTCTATCGCCAAGCTCTGTTAGACATTTAATTTTCTTTCATCTTGTCTTGGGTTGAACGGAGGAGGGTAGGGGTGGGGTGGGAACTGAGCGGGTGGGATTTCATAAGCGGATCCAGCAAGTTCGTGCCGCCTGGGTGACTTCGTATGTTATAAAGATTGTCTTTTTCCTTTTTATGGGATACGTCAGTATGGTTGTGTCACTCAGCGCAACTTGGACAACTACATAGGCGTATAAGGCTCTCTGTTTAAACCGTTCTAGGAACAGAATTTTTTTGATTTGACAGGTGGGAGTAGGCCTATATTCGAAAATTAAGTCAAGATTAATACTGTATTGTTTCTTGGTGTGCTAAAATCTTCGACGAGGGAAAAAAATTGTGAAAGATTTACACGAAAAGGGAGGTGAGTTAACATCATCATCATCATCATCATCATCATCATCATCATCATCATCATCATCATCAGCATCATCAGCATCATCATCAGCATCATCATCAGCATCATCATCATTGCCCTTTGGCAACAAGTATTTATCAGATGTCGCTGGGACCAGATTGAGCTAGTGAGACAAACGTTTGTGAACGAAGAGCTCAACCCACGTTGTGAAGATGCAACCATGAAAAGGAGGACGTCAAACATCAGTGATAGTAGTAGTGGTAGTAGTAGTAGTAGTAGTGGTAGTAGTAGTAGTAGTAGTAGTAGTAGTAGTAGTAGTAGTAGTAGTAGTAGTAGTAGTAGTAGTAGTAGTAGTAGTAGTAGTAGTAGTAGTGGCGCATATCTACATGTTGAGGGGATTTTTTTAACTTTAAATTCCCCACAGGTAGAAAACTCTTGTCCGCTCGAATTGAGCTCAGTGATATTGATAAGGTGGAAAAGCACAAGTCAACTCAGTCCGTATTTCTTCCACCCCGCTGTAAAGGCTTATCTTCTCTAACACACTATTTTGTGTCTAACAAGCTGCATTTTAAAATATTTTTGTCTAACAAGCTGCAGTGCCTTATGTTCCTGTCATGGGAAATAATGGGGGTAAAGGGAAGAGGAGGGGGGAGCAGACTTGAAATAATAGGTGATGGGCCAACAAAGAGTTTTGTGCAATGTGAGCGACATGTAAATCTAGGCACTACTTAAACGAACAATCTCGAATGTACGTCTTACCTATACAGTGACACATTATTGTTTAACCGTCAGTTTCACTTAATAGGATAAAGACTTGACATGCCTTTTTTAGCAGTGTCGTTCAACGATGGATTATGGCATTTTGCCTCTCTGTCACAGAGCTATGTGATGCAAGTATCCAAGTATCATCATTACCTGCCCAACCAAACACAGAAGACATCTCATCGTCTCAAAATCAGCTTCTCAACAATTAAAAACGTTGTTCATAATCGACTAATTGTGTGCACATCTTACCGGAACGACACGTATAGTGAAACAAAAGGCCTAATTGTTATGAACTGTGTAACTCTCAAGCGTTGCATTGTGTGCTAAATGTTCTATACTCGTCCCAAACAACAATCCTTTATTCTTTTACCTGTCTACGTTTGTTTGACAGGCTTGTTCGACTTATTGTTCACCTGTTGGGGGCTGTCGTTGGGGCTTTGTGTCTCCTGATTGGGGATTACTTCCTGCTTTATCATCACGTCAACTTGTGGCCGTTTGCTTCTGTCGGTGCGATTTGTTCGGAAAGCCTGAATTAATACCGACGTCAGTGGGAGAGGGAGAGAGGAGATGATTTGATTACAGAGATTTCGTATGATAATTGTTGGACTTGTCAGTGTTTTTTCGTTTCTGATACGTACTCTAAAGTATCAATTTTAAAAAAGGGGGTAGGAATAAACGAGGGGGGTGGGGGTGGACAGATGGCCCTAAATTAATAAACGGGAGGGAGGAGGGGAATAAAAAAATGGGGGAGGGGGGAGGGGTTGACACATTCATTTACATACCCCTGTACTAGTAGGAACAAATTTGTTTAATTTCCCCTTCAGTGAATAAATGAACAAGAGATCGTGAAATTTTAGTGATTTTAGTAAGTTGCTGTGACAACTTTTCCCGTTTAGGAACAAGTAATAATAATATTATAATAATAAATAATAAGTTGCATTTATATAGCGCATTTCCACAAAGAAGTACTCAAT